TGCTTGTGGACACGAAATACTTTTTTTTAGCTATTATGTACGGTATTAACAAGCATAGGTTTCGTCGTATGTACAGGTTTGTTCGTTTGGACTGCTTACCTGATCTACGAAGAAGACAAACAGATCCGTGGTCAAGGATGGAATTTTTATAAGGTTAACAAAAGTTTACGTCCCATAAATTAAAAGAAGAATCAGATCAGACACTTATAAGATTGATAAACAGAAACAGTTAACTGAATCAAAATGCCATTTTAAAGGAAGATTTACTGGAAACAAATAAGATTGTCACAAACACACGTTTGGCAATGTACAGTTTGCATATGATTCTTACCTCCATTCAAGGTAAGTTAATTTATGAGAATTATTAAAAATTAAAACGTTTAAACTGCGGCAACGTTATTCAATACTGCCTTAAAATATTAACTGCGATTGCGTGTTAAAGCACTTTGCTGTACGGGTATACTATGGATACTCTATAGAAGCCTTAAGCTACTTCATGGAGAAACCGTCACTAAAGGATACTTCTTTGCCAAGCCATTCATTGGTAACCAAGTAAGTGCCAAATATTATCAGTACTCCTATGCTAATCTTCGAATATTAAACCCATCAAATAGAAATTCTGTTTACTAAACCGCAAGAACTATTTAGGTGTTGCTTATTCCCATTGAGCTTAAACAGGTGAACACAATCGAGGAAAGCGAACCCGACAATGTATCCGTCGGTGTTCAGACAAGTGGAAATCATAGTTACAGAGATACGGTAAACAGTTGAAGAAATCCTGCCGATAATAAAACAAAAATTAAAAAAAATAATGATAATGAAATAAAAAATTTAGAAAAATTCTTCAACATTCCAAATAAATAAAAAGCTAAAGCTTTAAAATACCTCATTTTCATTGACAATACGTCGAAATTGGGTGCTGCGACTCAGGAATGTAATTCTGACCTTGTTACGTTGAGGTGTATCTTGTTTTATACCGAGACGATGTAACAGATGTTTAGAGAATGCGTCAAAAAGCCCACTACCACTGCAACCTTCTTCCTGTAAAATGTAACATTAGGCAATTTTTTCAACCTAACCTTAACTAGCAAAAAAGGACAATTTCCTAATTATTTGACTGTAAAACTTTAAGTCAATATTAAGAAAAAAATGCTTACTAAAGGCATATTGTAGTACAAACCCATTCTCTGCCTTGCTAATAACGGTAACACAGCATTCCGAAAGCATACTTTTTTACCATCGAAATGAATTAGCTCATAAGGAAGTCGATTGGTAAAAGCTCTCCAAGTGGAACCAAACAGAGGGTCAACAAAACCGCCAGCAAACTGCACGACAAAAAAGTAATCCAAAGAATGACCAATTAAAAACAATTGGGAATTAAGTACAGGGCAAGTGAAAAACGCAGCTTATGTTGAAATCATCTTATGTTAAGGCAAACTTACTGTGTCCCACCAGACGATATCAAGGTCCATATCAAATGAGCCGTTGACATGTTGGCTTGCATAAAGGTTGATAAAGTCACAAAAATGATGGTACATACTGACAGAAGCATCTAACTTCATGATAATTGTTGGTCGATCAAAAATTACATCACAGTGCTTATGGTCAACTTTGAAGTTCTTGTACGACTGGAAGTATTTTAACTCATGGCCCCTAAAAGGTAATAAATAAACAGCTATTTTTTTTACACAGTGCCACTCTTCGCCTGGATCTTCTTACCAACTCTGCAAATAACTTTGCTCATCGGCCATTCTCGACAATAAGTCTTGATCAAACTTCTCACACCTTCCACCAACATTACCGTCATGTATCACATCGTTACGATACCTAAAAAATTGCTCAGAGTGCAATTTGCAAGAGGTTATCCAAATTCCATATACAGTACGACATGCAGACGATATGCTGACCTTTTTGACGTCTTAGCGTTGAGATGCTTGAAATGAAAAAAGATATTTCTGGCACGACAAAACCTTAAATGTTCCGAACATTCCAGAAAAGACTCATCCTGAAAAAACAAGCAGTTTACTTGCCAAACAAGTATTTAAAAAACTGTCATGACAATCTTTAGAAGGAATGCTGTACTTTACGAAGAAACATGACACCGCTATAAACAGATTAAAAGTAAGAAGAGCAGAAAAACTAAAATCCACAAATCTAATAAAGTCAAGAAAAACTGTTGATGGACTGAAGGTACGTAGCCTACATTACGAAAAATTAAACACTTATACAAATCATTAGCAAAAGAAAAAACATACCTAACCTGATTCCTAGATGTACATAATGGTACAATACTACTGACAACACTTTTCAACTTTGCAAAGTCACCTTCAGCCCAGAACGTCTTGATCTTACCAGGCCTCCTAAAATAAGCTACGGTAAGCTACGATGCTTTATCTACCAAATCTGGGAACGAAATATAGAAAAATTGCTGGAAGATAATCAGATACACTGACTCTTTTTCGCTGACGTTGTCGCATCGAATTGTCGCAGAGGAGAAACTGTTTTTGAAGACACATCCTTTTTCGTATCCCCAGCACCGCTGAATACCGTTCATATACTGTAAAAAAAAAAAAAAAAACAAAAATTTTCTGGTTTTCTGTAAACGATTTTCACAGAAATTAATGCATAATAGACTTGTACTTTATTCCGTGACCTGTCAACTGAGCGTGGCATAGTGTAGCAAAAAGAAGAAGAAGCAAAATACAGCTTAACCTTTGTTTTGCAAGCTTTAACTGTTTCACATTTGTCGATAAACGGTTTTGACATGAACAAATAAGGTATATGCGACTTCGGAATGTTTAAATTAGCCGGAAAATGAGCTGCGCTGTTCAATGAGCCATCAGTGATGCTAACCAACGAAAGCAAGAATAAAATGCCCAACATATTCAGATCAGTTAAATTATTGGTATGAATTAGGACAACTACAAATTCATATTACTCAGTAGGTGTGAATAACACTCTGAAATTCCAATAAAACACAAAATAAACTGTATACTGACATCTACTTCACTGTTAACTCGCTATAAACAAAT